GTCACCATGAGAGTGGATGGCACAAGCCATCCTGTCAAATGACACTGCCTGAGTTGTCCAACTAAGTGTAGTAAAAAACAAATTAGTCGTAGTCACAACAACAATTTACAGTATTACTATACATGATTATGAGTCATCAAACGTGACGGTGTTTGAGTCAGAAACACAGCAATGAATCAAAGTGGCATCCATAAAATCATAATTACCCTAATTTTATTTCATAAGGATGTACACCTCATACATTAGCTACATTTCAAGAAAACCCACACTAGGCGATTATAAATTCACTGGTTGTATCTGTGCGGTCCTGCATGGTTCTCCAGAGGTGAATCTAGATACATCGCTGAAAACCAAGGCTGTATGAAGGCAATATCACTAAGAGGCTGCATAAAGGTAATATCATTCATCAGTTTTGCATTGCGCACTTTTATTGCGCATATCTAATAACAAATCTAGTCTAGCTAATATATGTAGTCAAACTGCAATGTAAAGTGATAAAGAAAGAGTAAGGGCAAAGAGAAAAACAGTCTGTATTGATTATAGGCATCCTTCAGGAAATACACCTTAAAAATGACAGAAGTCTGGCTAGGGATCCTGTGCAACTAACACTAAACCCACACTAAACCACATCATGTTGCATGTTTAACCCTTGTATCTCTTTAAGGTCCGTGACCCCACTTTTATATTTTTGTTCTTCTATAAGTTTACATGTCATATCAGAAAATAAGAGAAAAATAATTTCTACAACTTATAATATTTTACATTTTTCGCGCATGCTTCCCAAAATAACATGTCTCAGAAGATGGGAAAAGACATCTTTGCACCATGACAATGCACGTAAATGGTTCAGTTTTGATTCGCTAAAATACCATGTTTTCTTGTATATAATCACTAGATAGACATTTTGAGTAGGATCCTTTTTAAAAAATTCAATAACGGTTGAGCAATTACGATTGTTCCTGTAACTCGTAAAAGGGTCAAGATGGCGCCATATGACGGGAAAGGTGGCATATTGCACTTGTCATATCTTCGAAACGAGTTCGGTGACCCCAACATTGAATGAAATCATGTTATCATATAACAATCATTAAACTAAATTATATAACACATTACAGTGAAAGCATGCGATGGACCACAATTCGAAATACACCGAGCCCAAGCAGATGCCTGTTAAATTGCTTTATATTTATCTTAATATTTTGTTTTGCATTAGCTACAGGGCACATGTTTCCATGCTTAGTTTAAACAACACTCACCTATAAGAGTTGAGAAACTCACCAATCTTTATAGCTTCACTTTTTGTATAACAACAATAATAATCAAACGCCACATGTAGGTAGACAGAGCGCTCTGTGTCAAGGCTGCGAGGTGTGCCATATTTCTTCAATATTGATCCAGCAAAGTGCATGTTTTCCAGCAAATCTCTGGGCCAGTCGTGGGTCTTGTTAAGGAATATAGCACCATACGACGATGTTTCTTCCCCATCTTTAGGTTCACACTTTGGCTTGCAGCCAGGACCTATTAAATAGTAATAACAACAACGACAATGGCAAAGAAAATGACAAATATGATAGCCACACTGTCATCATTAGGTGATATACATTTTTTGTTTATATTTTTTGGCGAAATCCATCTACGAGCAGGACCGTCAAGAGGTCGCGCCTCCTTGGTAAGGCCTAATTCCACGACGAGCGAAATGCGAAAAATTTCGCGCGAAAACACACTTTGTGCGAAAATTTTCTCTCGTAGTAATTTCCACAGTAGAGAAAAAAATCGCCAAAACACAAGCATTTGATTGGCTTCGCTATTTCCATTTCGCAACGGAGTAGAAACGAATTCAACTACCCGGCGAAGAGAAATATTTCGCAGAGAAACATATTTCCAAAATCATGTTGCGCATGCGTTCAACCATTTCGCGCGAAAATTTCGCATTTCGCTCGTCGCGGAATTAGACCTTTACTAATTTTTTTATGATAAACTCAATCAGACAGTTAAGCAATTTTGTATCAAGAAATTTTAAGGACCTGTGTTACTTTAGGGGCCTCTTCTAGCAGGGTGCCCAGAGCAAAGTGTCCACACCCCCCAGAGCCCTGTCCATGAGTAAGAGAATTCATGCTATGTGTTACGCCCTCTCAGTCGTTTATCTTGGGTTGCTATGCATGTTAGTCGCCCGCCTTTAGGAACTTAAGATTCGCCAAGTGACATGCTTACAGTCGGCACACAAGTCGTAAGTTTTTGCTCTATTTTGTATTGCTATATTAGTATATTTGGAATCTTCCTTTTGTAATTTTAGTTTATTTGTTTATATTGTAGTTTGACGGTTCGTAGAAGATAAATATAGTACACTTTTAAAGTCCTGTCGTCACAGTTGTTGTGTATCTATAACTATAAGTCCTATAAGATAGCTTGATCGGTTATCGGCCATAAATCCATACGAGCCGTAAGGCCTGTGTCGTTTTACACTACCAAGACGGTAGATACACTATGTTCAGATAAAATTGGACACAACAGCCATGGAAAGACATGGAGAAGCAGAATATAAGGGCGATGACAATTTGTCATGAGGATATAATGGCTTAAAGCAAGAAGAAAACTGATCTGCATGGCAAATCTGCATTAGAATCCTCATACTCCTGGAAAATGAATTTTTCCTCATATGTAAAATAATTAACAATTAATATATCTCAAGTATAGATACATTTATCATAACACCTTACATGTTTCAATGGTGTTATTTGCTTTGACGAGACTGTTTTTGGGCCAGTCCATATATGTAGTACTACATGTTATTTTAGCCCCAGGCCTCCAAAAGCCCAATGTCCAAATATATTGACTGGAAAACAATCTGAGATTGATGGATCCCCGCTAAATCTGGTAGGAAAGATACGTAGACCAAGTAACTCAAAAGGTTATAGCGCTTCTAAATAATTGAAAAACTTAAACCAGGATCAAAGTTATCGGTCAGTAAAGATAAAAAAATCGCGCTGCGTTGTCGAATCGCGTCCGGTGTGTCTGGGCCTTAAGATTGTGTGAAAAGAGTTGGGCAGGGCATAGTTAGGATTCAAGTAATATCACATATTGTTGTAAAGATAAATGTAAAGATTATGATGTTGTTAAACTGATAAATATGTAAAGTGAGCTGCATAATAATAATAATAATGTAACGAATTTCCAAACAATTTACCAACAAGACACGTTTTTTTCATATATAATCTTGTTTTAACCATGTTTTTCAAAAAGTGAGGATGTTTTGCTTCCCACACCTCCCCGTTCCAACACCCTGGGTGATCTCAATCCTCGCAATCTTTTGCAGTAAATGGCAGTTACCACTGAAAATTAAATTGCAGCACTTTTTTGGCAATGGGTTTATATCAAACACATGTTTTTAATGATTGTCAACATTCTCAGCTGATTCTGAATAGTTCAAATATACTTTGAAAGCAGCAAAGAAGAAGGGAGAAGGGGGTGGGGTGAGAAGGGGTGGGGCAGATGGGTAAAAAAAACCCAGAGCTTGTGGTGCTTTGAGATGCACATAAGTTGGTAAGGGTGATTGTGCGCACTGGTGTTGCGCGAACCCACTAACGATGTCTCATGCAGACGATTTTACTAGTCAAGGTAAGAGTCTTGCAAATGAATGGGTTATCCAAACTATCTGCCAGTGTGTGTACAGTTAATCCATTAAGCTGCAATGTGCCCAGATGTACCCTCATTATTTTACTCTGTCTAATGCCAGGCAATTATTAACTCATTAAGAGTAAAGCCTTGCACATGAATGGGTTAAAGGTTCTGGTAAAAAGATTATGCACATATTAAAGGATCCAAATTTCTGCACAGCATTCACACCAAAGTCATGTGCATGAAAGGGCTTGAAAAGAAGTCTACGCAGGTTTTTGCTGGTTTGGATAACACACTATCACATGGGCAGGTAGTATTTCGACTTTGTTCAACTGACCCCAGGTTCAGTGAGGTAGCCAGGGTTTCTAGATCAAGGGCGACTGAGGGGCACAAGCAATTTTACCCTGTGCGGGACTGTGTTACTTTGAATAATGAACTTTTAGGGGGTCCAGGGGTATTGTCCTCTGAGCATTTTTTAAATTCAAAAGTCTTTTCAGCATTTTGGGGCTATTTTAATGAGTTTTGTTAGTTTTAAATAACCATTTAGCACATAACAACTCTACTACTTAATTAATCACAAACGAATCCTGAAATTTAAAAGTTTAACATAGGAAGATACAAGAAATGAAAATATAATGCTCATGCTTGTGCTGGTCATAAATCTTTCCAAAGGGAACTCCTTGGTTTCTAGTGCAAACGGCCGAAAAGGCTTTGCCACTTTTTATGTGTAAATATGAATTTTCAGTTGAAAACTTTTAAATTAGTTGAATGTCTAAAATCGAGACCATGGAAACCTTCGACATGGTCAGAGGTTTTACAGGAAACCTCTAGTGGCGAAACAGTCGAAAACACATATTTTTCAATAATACAAAAACCGAAAACACATACTTTTGAAAACCCAATATATGGACTGATAGCAAGCTTGTGTGGAGTGATGACAACCTTTGGTCTGACAATTATTTTGCAATAAGATCAAAATATAACCATTAAAATTTACGTCTTGCTTTTAGTCTATATATATATATTGAAACCTTTTCTATATATATATATATATATATATATATATATATATATATATATATATATATATATATATATATATATATATATATATATATATATATATATATATATATATATATATTTATAATATAGTCATCCACCGTATATGAGCTGTTCTGCAATCTGATTGGTTGAATTACTTGCCGTATATCAGCTCATATACGGCGAGTAGCGAAAAACAAGATGGCGGTCCAAAAACTACATGAGCTTTGCGAAGCAGAAAAAGGAAAATATTCGCTTTGAGAAACATAATAGTACAAGGAAAAACTCTCAAAAAAAATTTGACAGGTTAGCAAAATACATTTATTACGTAGAAATTAGTTTAAATACAAGTTTTTCAAAAAATTAATACCGAAACAACAGCGAAAAAACATGTTCATTGAGAATATAAATTGTTCAGAAAAGTTTGCAATGAACGACAAATGAATTTGCAGTCAACAAGCACTTTCAGTACCAAACATCTGTATAATATATCTGAGCTTTCTTGTGAGATATAGAGGTTCTAAAACCGTTTCTTTCACTTCGTCTTGGAGTTGTAAAACAAAAGTATTTCAAATTTTCAAGCGGTTTTTGGCCGAACAAATTGTCAACACATTGTAACAGTGAATAATTAATTACTGCTTCAGTTAATGGCTATATTAGACTATATTATAAAACAATTATACCATTCGCTCTCGTCGCGTATATGGCTGATAGCCGACTCGGTGCTACGCACCTTGTCGGCTATCAGCTCATATACGACTCGAGCTCATGGTATAATTGTTAAATATATATATATATATATATATATATATATATATATATATATATATATATATATATATATATATATATATATATATATATATATATATATATATATATGAATGGTGTTTTAAAAAAATAAAACAAGAACTTCCTCAGGCATAAAAAGGTATAATGACTATAACCCAGACGTTTCGCCGGTTAAGGCTTCTTCAGTGAGTGAAATATATATATATATATAGGGTTTGTATCATGTTTTCATTTTCTGGATGTTGTTTAAACCCTTTACAGCCTTATGCATGCAGCTTAATATTTTTAAAAATTCAAAATGCTAAAATTTGTATTTTTTATATAATATATGCCTTAATCAATTCCATGCCTGGTGTCTGCACCTGTTCCCTTTAGTGTCTGCACCTGTTCTCGGGGTTGGGCACTTGCCTTGTGAGAGGCTAGGTGTCTCCTGGGAGGGGAATTTGATCTATGCTAAAAATTTGGCTTTTTCATTTATTGGGTCATTCCAGAAAACATCCATACCACCCCCACGGAGGAAATAAGATGTTAACCCCCCTACCCCCTTCAGATGTCCTAATTAATACATTTACTATTATCAGAAACAATTTTTTCTCCCCTCCCCCTCCGGACGGCAGAAATTTCCTCTGTGGGGGGATAAGGATTTTTGCTGGAACAACCCATTGCAGTTTACATACAAGTTTTCAATTTTCATTAAATAACAGGTAGATCTTTGTTATGTTAAGTACAGTACTTTTTAATTGTTACATGTATGGGGTAAAATGTGAGCTTTCATAAATCAGATCTTACTTTTTGAAAATTTTAATGACTGTAGTGTATAAATATTTAATAATTAGGAATATTATTATCAATATATTCAGGGCCGCCAAGAGAATTCACAGGGCCCGGGACAAGTCTTCTCCAGTTCTCTGGGGGCCCTGTGACATCATTATTTTTAAGCAGACCAAGTCAGTCATCCAACTAGACCTTATAGCTAAACTGCATGTGGAGCTACTGTAAGGGGCCCTCAATTTCAAAAATGCTCTGACCAATTTAAAGAAGCTACTCAATTTTAGGCTCTCTCTGTCTCAAGTTGGAGCCCTATTATTAAGGTGGGGGCCCGGGGCAATCCCCCCCCCCCTCTCGGCGGCCCTGAATATATTTACCAGAACACTGTTATTTGACCCCTAAAGGTGGGGCATTTTCATCTATATCAAGTCTCTAGGGTGGGGATTTTGTATCATTATTTTGAACCAATGTTGGGTCATTTGCAAAATTCCAGGGAGTGGGCAGGCATGGAATTGATCGAGACATTAGAAAACATCAAAACAATACCTCCAGCAGATGGGAAAGCGGGACTATAATTGTGGCAACTCTCTTTCTGAGGGTCGTATACAAGCCTTCGTTCACTCCTACCATATAACCAGCTGAGCATCCAATTAGGGGAATACAAATATGACAACGTCACAGCCAAAAGGCCCAAAACCAGTGCAACCATTTGCCAAACACGAAATGCCCTTCGTTTACACATTGCTATTTCGAGACAAAGTACGATTACTAAACTTGATCTTCTTTACCGAACTTTTAATCACCAAAAGGAATTTTTCATCAAACAATTGAAACAATATCATAATTACAATTTAAAATATCAGAAACTTCGACGATCACGCAATCATCGTGCCAATACTTTATGTAATATTATATATAATAGTTTTGCTGCAATACAGTATTTTTGCTGCCGAAGGCAGCACACTATTCTTGACGATGTGTTTTTCTCGCACCAGTCCGTTTCCGGTTCGCGAGTTATGTGGATCCAACAAGTCATTTTTAGGATGTTTGTACGGATGATCAGATTTATGACGTATTTTGACGTCACAGAAATTTTACTGTAAAAATAACATACTCCAGATCGCGATTTGACTTTCCGAATACCCTGGTTGAATCTCGCGAACACCACCATGGACCATGACAATTTGTAAACACGTTTACATGTTCGCATAATGTCGTCGCAAATTTTATGTCTGGACCATAGTAGCCCAACAATCAGTGGTATTAATTCATTTCTGTTCAATAAAATCATACTACTACTCAGTCCCCGACTGCATTGTTTACGCGCGGTCAGATCATGTACGTATCCCTATAAACTATAGTAATATCACAGAGTAGAGACATACAGAGACGTAACTAGTGTACCCACTTTTTTTGTGCGCATGCTCGGCAAGTTACTAGATGCATGCATCTGATTGGATGACGACCTGATGACGACTCACTTTAAACTTGCTGAGCACGCGCAGTTGATCATTTTTCGCCCGGTCGCCTGAAAAAAAGTGGGTACATGATAACGTAATCTTCCGCAGTGTTTACAACGGTCAGTTACGTCTCTGTATGTCTTATCTACTCTGTGGTAATATTACTATAGGGATACGTACATGATCTGACCGCGCGTAAACAATGCAGTCGGGGACTGAGTAGTAGTATGATTTTATTGAACAGAAATGAATTAATACCACTGATTGTTGGGCTACCTATGTCTGGACTCTGGCTGTTTGTCGAATTATTTTTCAAGGTAAGATGAAAGGTTGATCACAAATAACAATGTGTTCTGGTCGATACGCGTTGAAACTTGAAGCGAATGAATTAACTGTATTTAAATTATTAAATTTTTAGGTGCATACAAGTCTATATAAACAAGTGCAGCTCGTCGATGGTCAGTTTGTAAAAAATCTGATTGAACTAGAACATAGCTTAATAGAATATCAAGGTACTTCAAGGTATAAATAATCACAGTGATAGTTTATTAATATTGTTATTATGGGAATATCAATTGAGCAGTATCGTGCCCGCACTGGAACACACATGGATTGTATACGAATGAAAAATTATAAACTCATTGACTTGTACAAAGATATTGCTATAGCAACCCAGTGTGGAAGCTTTATACCAGCAGTTAATACATGTAATAACATGTCAACCGACTTTTGTAAACGATATAATGGTCTGTAAGAATATATCCCTGAGATATGTCCATTGTTAGCATAATATATAGGAAATTATCCTACTGGCCTACATTTTAATTTATATATTCACCTGGCTGTGTCACTACAGTTCAGGGTATACTATATTCTTGGTAACGCTTACAATTTCTTGTATTATATAGTTTTGCAGTTCTGACTGAGTACAATCTTAATTATTACAAATGAATGGTGTCGCCGCCATGCAGAAGCTAGCTGACGAATGAAATAAAACTGTCAACAATTAGATTTTGTCTCCCCATCAGGTGTGAGCAGATTGTTCAGTGGTTTTGCAATAGGGGTAGCCTTGAAGGTGCCATTAAAACAATAATTGGCACAAAAACTGACTTAACATTTCTATTTATTATTCATTGCACTGTGTTCTCGGTTTTTCATTGGCTAAGAGCCTACAAAAATTTTGGGTATTTGTAGGTGCCTGTGCTATTTCCAGCAGAAACAATAATCTGCAGAGGTTATTGGACGGCGCCCGAGATATTTTAGCGGTATGTTATGTGAAAATACAAATTGGCGGGAAATTTTCAGTTGAATTTACTTAAAGTTAATCAATTCAATGAATATTATTTTATTTGTTTTCAATTGTTGCTTGTTTTGTTTTCTTTCTGTCACAAAATGAATAATAAAACAATTATTGAATTTGGCTTGCGCAGGATACCAGAATTATAAAGACCTTGGTCAATGTTATCTGCCGAATTCCTGCTGGATATCCTGCTCAGCCCCATCCAATAATTGTTAAATATATGAAACTGTTATAATTAAATTGTACATGTCCAATGATTCATTCAAGTATTATCATTTATATATAATATGATTTTGTCTGATATTCAGTGGCAAGCTTGCCGTGGCAACTGGTCATGCCACGCCAATAAACCTGCATCTATTTGACTAATGCAAATTATTAAAAACTTGCAAAGCATGATCTGTTGCAATGACTAGCTTCACCACTGATAGTATTATAAATGTACATACAAAAGCAAGAAGTTATAAGGGGGGGTGAATAGGTTTTTGGATTGTCGGATTCCACCAATCTTATTAATACAACGGATTGCGGATTTATGTAATATTTTGGCTGAGATTGGGGATTTTGCTTGCAATTTAGTTCGAATTTGCAAGGTGTTTGATATTCAAATTGCACTTTTCCCTACATAACATACTGAACAGGTGTCTTAGGGGCTGTTTACATGATGGAAGGTGGGATGTCATTATTTTGATGTGTTGAAATAAGTCAGTAGGCTAAACAAAAGTTAAAATGCCGGTTAAAGAATTCAAATATTGTAGAGAAGATCTTGTAGTTCCAGAAGATTGCTATGTTTCGTTTACAGTTAACTAATTAATCTATCTCAAGAAAATAATGAATTTTGCACTGTGACTTGTTTCAATACATCAAAATAACCCCGGCTCACATCTCGTCATGGCAAAGCGGGATCATATATAAAACAGCCCCTTATTCAGCAAATTACGCATGCTGTCTTTGATCCCTTGGGGGTGAGGCAGCACTTTCCTTGCGATAGTAACTTCTAGTAATATATATATAAATTGTGTCGTGTGTGTTCGTAAATTCTCGTAAAGGCTCGTATCAGAGATTCAGAGCTCGTATCAAGGACTTCGTACAATTTCGCGTTGAGAATTTCGTTGCTTCCTATATTAAAAGAGTCATAAAAGGAAGTAAACAAAAATTGAAATGGATAAATATCTGCTACTATTAGTTATAAATGCAGTATTTCATCAGCAAATAACGGATATATTAGCTGGGGATGCCCAGGATGACTGCCATAGCCATTGGCAATGTGCTGGCTCCTCTTCATACTGTTGTCGAGAATACAACGTGAATAGTGGTCGAAGTTGTCGTATGAATGTCTCGTCATGTTTGGACCGTTTTTGTACATCAAACCACGAGTGTGTCACACCAGACGAATGTTGTTGGTCCAACAAATGTACAAATTGTTCTTTCTGCGCCGTTAATTCTGATTGTGGTACCGCACAATACTGCTGCAATTCACGTTCGAATGGTAGTAAATGTAGTTCCACTTGTATAGGAGAGATTTGCCAACGTTATTCAGATTGTGGGGCTCCTGACGAATGCTGTCGTTCAGATAAATGTGTCAAATGTTCTGATGCCGGATGTCGTGATAATTATGAGTGTCCATCAGGAGAGTACTGTTGCGTGCAAGACATACATTTTTGGCTACCCAACGTTAAACAAAACCATTGTAATGCAAGTTGCATCGGTAGGTCATGTCATTACCATGGTGACTGTGGTGGGCTGGGGGAGTGTTGTCAATCAAACAAATGCGTCGAGTGTCCTTACGCTGTGTGTAAACATAGTAGAGACTGCAATACTGGACAGCATTGCTGTGGTCGAGAACCAAAAGGTATTTGTAGTGAAAGTTGTTTGGGGGAGTCCTGTGCGGTTGAAGAACAGTGTGCGCCACAGGAGTGTTGTAATGATGATGGTGTCTGCACAAAAGTTGGCTGTATGTGCTTTGAAAATCGCCATTGCAGTGATGGTCTGTACTGCTGCCTGGGACCCAAAGAAGGATAATAATAATAATAATAAAATCTTTATTTATACTGATAAAAAAGACCGTTCAGTCAATTACATAGATTGGCTGGTATCAATCGGTGATCAGTGTATAACAAGTATATATACAATAACATAAGTGCGTAACAGTGCATAAATAAGGCTATATAATGTAAACACTGTTTACACCTGCAACCTCCGCTGCGATTCCAGGCGCGACACTCCTTTGGATACCATTGTAATACCAGCTGTCTTGGGAAAAGTTGTATTACACATCATGGTTGTGGGGGAATGGCACTTGGAGAATGGTGTCGAGATGGGGTATGTGTAACAGATCAATGTGATTCCCATTTTTATTGTGACATAAAGGATTATTCTTGTTGCTGGAAGCTCGGCTTGTCAGAATCTGAATTAAGTGCACGTGATTGTAGAACACAATGTATCAATAAATCTTGTAGCTCAAACAGCCTTTGTGCCACATCTAATGAGACAGACTGTTGCAGCACATATCCCACATGGCTAATCTTGGTAATTGTTACAAGTTCATTTGTGTTCCTTTTTGGAGTTGTTACCTTTGTAATTAAGTATTGCTGGAGCAAGCGAACGCATGATCTGGGAACTTTCCAAAAACCTCCCCAAGATGACAATAATGTGCCATACACAATTTTTTAAGTTCTTTTATTCACAATATAATACCAGCAAATAATTTGCGATTTAGGCATGTATGCGACCAATGGTTAACTATCAGCTGCCATAATGAATTTATTGAATTTTATAATATAAGTGGTACATGTATGTAACACATAATTTGATAGGCTAGCTATTATGCACATACAATTATTATGACGGTATAACACCATAATATACTGTTGGCTGTTGTGATTTTTCACTTTTTTGGTTTGCCAAAATAATGTGAACAGAATTATACAGTGCAGTTAAATAAAAAATACGCAGGTACATGTACGCTTAGTGTACATGTATCTGCAAGAAAGCCGCCATATTTGTTTTACTGCCTGTTCGCAGGCGTACAGCCCTAATTAGTTGACCTGAGTGTTTACCACACACACAACTCTATAGCATTGTGTCTACGCAGACACAAAAATTATTGGAAAGCAAGAAAGAATAGACTGTCACTGAAAATGAAGTACAAAAGCAGTTAACAAGAGACAACAGGACAAGAAAGGCAAATAAATTTTCAGAGCTGTTTTTGAGTCACGGAAATTTTACACTTCACCATACGGTCCATACCGGAGTAATCACTGAATACGTAGTGTACACCATCAAAACATGCATAAAAGAACGGAAAAGCTTGCCATCAGAACACACAGCATCAAATACTTGCGACCGGGAAATCCCGGGAATGGTACATAGGAACAGCAAAACAACAGTAACTTTGTTGCCTCATCAGGATGGATTATATTTGTTGTTTTCGAACATATTTTCCCCAGTTTACTAAGTTGAATTTCCAAAATTTTGTTTTTGTTCTTTCGCCTACCTGAAAATTCAAGCTTGTTGTTAGGCAATGTGTAAAAGCAGTGTAAATAACACTAGAGGGGGCATCGTAATCTTAATTTAGCCAAAGAAAGGAAACGTGGCTATATTGGTAGGCAAAAGATTAAAAATGCTAAAATATGAGCGAGTTTGAGCCAAAATCTCTAAATTCTTGTTTATGGCAGTTAAGTATAGTACCGTTTTGATTTTACCAAAAGCATTTTGACCTCAATTTTTCTACAACACATTTTCGAGAGTGCTCCAAAATAATGCTGCTGTCAGCAATTTTGATCTTTTCAAGAGGAATTGTTTGAATTCAAAATTTTCGGGGAATGTTTGTAGTAATGACATGCAAAACATATAAAACTCTAATTGTTTTGAAATTTTCTGGTTTCAAGTGTAACCCAGGAATTGTGTGGTGTTCCAGTGTGTTGTGTTCCAGAAAAAAAAAGTGTTGTCCGTCAAACGTAAATTGGGAAAGTTTTTTTTGACCAATCAAAGTCCTTGTGTAGGAATAAATAGTGTTTTTTTTCCAACGTGTTTCTCCTTAGATGCAAACAACGGTAGCTTGGTTTTGTACATTCCATTTCCGGTGAATGAACACTGAAAAATGCACCCGATGGCACTTCGTTTTGCATATTTCATTTCCGGTGAATGAACACGGATGCACATCGATTACACTTTGTTTTGCACATTTCATTTCAGTGAATACACACCCAATATGAATGAAACGCGATACATTTTGAGAAAATAGTTAATTGATGAAAAAAAGTAAATAAAACGTTCTTTGGTATAATAATATAAAATCAAACGCAATGCACTTTCTCATCAGAAAAAATGAAAATCGTCCAGTAGACCCAGTTGGGAAAGCCCCTTAGCTACTTCGATTGGGAAGAGTCCATCAAACGGACAGTATATGGGCTAGCTAACACCCTGTGTTCATCCGGGATTTCAATTTGCCCCTCGATGCCCCCTCTAGTGTTATTTATAATCTCGATGTGTGTGAGGTCACGTACTGATTGTATGTTAGGGGAATTTCAAAATCGACCTTTCAAATCCCTTACAAAAAAGCTAGTCTGTAGGCCTGGTCTATAGGTCAACCTATAGGTTCCTATAGGAAACCTATAGGTTTTTATAGACAATTGGAACATTTTCTATAGGTGACCTATAGGGATGCCTTATAAGCCTACACGCATAAAAAAGCTGATTGAAATATTCTTACAGGGTTTGTAGGTTTGCTGAATAATTAGGCCAAACACCGTCACACTAGGCCTTTGTTTTCTTTGTCTTGGCCGTTTGTTTTCTTTGTTTTCTAAACGGCACTAATGACGATTTGGCCTAATTATTCAACTAACTTACCAACCCTGATTCAGGCTCAACAATAGTGTTCAATATTGTTGACAAGTGCGAACAACGTGGGCAGCAAAACAATGTTCAATCCTGTTTCGTTTTTAGCCTTGTATACAGGGTGTCCCAAAAAACCCGAAAACTATTGAAATCACCAATAACAATTTAATTGTTAGAATTTGAATGCCTTAGCGCTCTGTTGGTTCCCACGAGTGCATAAATGATTGACATAAGTAAATTTTATGCATAAAGAAACTGTTTAAGGTGGCTCGATACAGTTTTCAAAATTAAATTCAGGTGTTTAACAGTTTGACATGTTCAAACTACGCATTTTTAGGATTTATTCAGCAGATATTGGTGTTTTTTATATATTTTGATAACTCTACTTTCAAATTATATTAGTTTTAGTAACAGATAGCTCGTTGCTATGACGACATACGTGTACGAAATTCACTCCAAAATGGCCTATCGTTTCGTATAGTTGGAAAAAAAGCATGGTGACCCCCAATTTTTTTTCTTGCGTTGTTTTACTTGGACGAAAAGCTAACAATTAGCAAAATATAAAAAAATTCTGTAATGCCATTTTTTTGGAAAATGCGAAAATGTCATATCCTTCGGTAAAATTTTTTTGGCATTACAGAATTTTTTTATTTTTTGTATAATGAAAGTTTTTAGCGGTGCAATACAGCATGCAAAATTTGAACATAGGTCACCAGGCAAAATAAAGAGATATAGCGCATTGTTTTTCTAAAATGGAAAATTCTAATGACGTCAGCAATCGACACAAAACGCTATACAACACGCGCAATGACGTGAGATGGCGCGAGCAACTGCTCACGTCAGGTCATTTTGGAAGTTCTTTTCATTTTGTTAATCAGTTTGCACGACCTGCGCGTAAAAATGGTCGCCCAGTTTTGTTCGCGATTCTTGAGCAGGGTTTTTGTGATAACTATATCGAGCCACCTTAAGAAGCTGTTTTTAATTCCCAGGAGCAGAAAATCGCGCACTTTACTAAGAGATATTCCTAACTAAATTCTAATACATGCACTTGTCAATATTTTACGCATCATTACGTCCAGCTGTTTGGTAGGGCATTCAAATTAAACAATAAGTGATTTCTATAGTTTTCGTTTTTTTTGGGACACCCAGTATATCTATACATGTAGGTGCGTAAAACTTTCCATAGGGGAATTCAAACATTTCCTATATATCTTCTTCTCCCAACATTCCCGTTGTGTATTATCACACTATAAACACCCACGACTCGTTTTCTATTTCTTAAATAAATTGTGTCGAGATGAAAATGGTAACAATAGACTTATTCTTTTTCGTCAATCAGAAATTTATTGACTTTAGTGTTTCATACGTCCATCTTTGAGGAATACAGTTCCAGTTTCATAATATATCCAAGTGAGTGGATGTCACGTGAGTCCAGATCTTAAAAACACTAGGTAAGTAGGTAAAAACTTTATTTGTCTACGCTAACCCCTACAGCAAGAGCTGATTTCCAAGAGGGGCGTAGGTTTAAAAATACAAACGTTACACTCAATTAGGATAAATATATATACAAGACTAACACATTACAATACAATTATACAATATAATTACTCTACTATGGTCAAATAAATAAAATTTCATGAACTCATTATCTAACTGGCCAGGTGCCGCACACCCAAGTTAAATTGACTAAGAGAACATTTATTTCTTAGTCTATCTGGGAGGCCATTCCACAATTTTGCTCCTCTATAACTAAGACCTTTTTTAAGATATTCGGTCTTAGGTTTGGGCAGATAGAGATTTGTGGCATAACCTCGTAAGTTATAATGTTGAGACGAAGGCGTCTTTTGAAACATATCAATTAGTTGTTTGGGCGCTAGATCGTGGGTTATTTTGTACACGAGACTTGCTACAAATTGAGTTCTGCGTTCTTTCAATTTTTTCCAGTTTAGTTCATTTAAAGCAAGTTCAGATTGGCCGTGTTCGTTTTTACGACCCGTAATTACTCTAGCAGCCCTATTTTGTAATTTTTGGAGGCGATCAGAGAGTGTGATACCAATAGTATCTCAAACTTCGCAGCAGTAGTCGAAGTGGGGCAATATAAGTGCGTTATAAGCACATATTAATGTATTATGGTCCACACAGGGTTTGAGTCTTCTGATCGCTCCAATTCCGGATGAAACCTTCTTAGCAATTTTGTCAATATGCTTATTCCATGACAAAAATTCATCAATACATACTCCAAGTGCTTTTGTTTCTCTCACTCTTTTAATTTGTACATCGCCAATGAACACATTTGGAACAAGGGCTAGATTGTTGACGTTATGCCGAGATCCAATTAGTATAGGTATTCAGTTTTAACAAGATTTAGGGATAGTTTGTTTGCAGATAGCCACCGCTTTACGTTAGCAAGATCATAATTAATGGCCATTTCTACATCAGCAACTAATTTACCAGATGCAGTTAATGTCGTATCATCGGCAAACATTCTTGTTGACGAATACTCCAAACTGTTTGGCAAATCATTAATATAAACCAAAAATAGGAGCGGCCCAAGAATTGAGCCTTGAGGGACTCCACATGTAATTAATTTTTTACGAGAAAGTGCCATTAACAGAGCACATTTGAGTTCTGTTTTCTAGATACGATTTTAGGAGGTTTAAAGCTGGTGTTTCTAAACCATAAAAATCAAGTTTTTTCAATAATACAACGTGGTTAATAGTGTCGAATGCCTTTTGCAAGTCGAGAAAGACTGCAATATTAAAAAAGCCAAGATCCATATTAACAAACCATTCTTTTGTGCTATCTAAAACGGCGGATGCTGTTGAGTGACTACGTCTAAAACCGAATTGATGTTGGGATAGTAAGTTATTTGTAACAAGATAATCGTGTAACTGTTCGTATAATACTTTTTCGAAAACTTTACTTACAACAGGAAGAATGGATATAGGGCGATAATTATTTAACAGGTTTCGAGGGCCTTTTTTATGTAAAGGTGTAACTGTCGCTGCTTTCCATTCAGATGGAACGGATTTACTGGTGATTGCCCTATTAAAAATTTTTGCCAAGGAATTTGCAATTACTGGGGAAGCAATACGAATAATTTTAGCTGGAATTTTGTCAATACCGGTAGATTTACCGGGATTTAGAGACAAAAGAAGTCTATGAACTTTCGATTCAGATACAGCTTGGAACTTAAAATTACTAGTTACTCTAGTTATGTAATCCGTGAAATTTCTGTCACCTTTATCGATCGTTTTTGCAATATCTGGGCCAATATTAGTAAAATAATCATTGAAGCTTTCCGCTAACTCATTTGGATCGGTAATCTCTCCATTCTGAGTTTTGACAGAGTTTATATCTGGACATTTTTGCTTTCGATTTAGGATTTTATTAACAGTTTTCCAAGCTTGTTTTGGCTCATGTTTTACTTTATCAAATTGTACTTTATAATAAGCTGTTTTAGCTTCTCGCAAAGCATCTGTTATGCGATTTCTAGACGATTTATAAGCATCCCAGTAATTTTCCGATTTGTATTTTATTGCAAGAAGTTTTAGACGATCTCGTTCTCTAATTTGTTTTTTAATTGTAGTGGTTAGCCAAGGGACACTGGGTTTATCTTTCACTCTTTTCTCTTTATTTGGAGCATGTTTGTCGAACACTGTCATAAAGAGTGTTTTTCATATATCACACATCTTATCAACGCATGCTTGGTTATCTAATAATTCCCAATCCTGACTATACAGGTCGGCTTGGAAATTATCGACATTAAAATTTTTTAAATTTCGAAATTCAACTTTCTTGTGGCGTTTTTGTTTACAGTAAGTATTTATTTTACGAACAATGACGATCATATAATGGTCACTAATTGTAATCAGCACTACCCTAGATGTAATTAACTTTTCTGGAGTAGAAGTGAGACAAACATCTAACAAAGAGGATGAAGTCGTGGTCTCACGAGTGGGTGCACTAATTGTTTGAGTTAATTGATATTGTTCCATTATTGAAACTAGTTCTTTTGTGGCATTATTCGAAATGTCAAGCATGTTGGCATTTAAATCGCCAAGTAAATAGAATTCCTTATTCTCGTCATCTATTAATTGCACTAATTTTTCAATTGCGACAAATGAGTCAACCGAAGCACTTGGAGGTCTGTATACAGGGTGTATCAAAAAAAGCGCAACCTCGGAATTTCCCAAGAAATTGACATTGTTTTAAAGACAAAAGATTTTAGGCGCCTGGGAATTTAAAATAGCATAACTGTCAAAATTACTGCACACGCGAGTGCATAAAACAAAATTTATGCTTTTATTTAATGCACAACAACAGTAATATGATCTATTAGCAATTCGATTTCAATTCCCAGGGGCCTAAAATCTTTTATGCTTAAGAATTGCAAAGTGATTTCTTAGGAAATTCCGAGGTTGCGTTTTTTTTTATACACCCTGTACAGGGTGTCCCAAAAAAAACGAAAACTATTGAAATCACCAATAACAATTTAATTGTTAGAATTTGAATGCCTTAGCGCTCTGTTGGTTCCCACGAGTGCATAAATGATTGACATAAGTAAATTTTATGCATAAAGAAACTGTTTAAGAAGCTGTTTTTAATTCCCAGGAGCAGAAAATCGCGCACTTTACCAGGTGATATTCCTAACTAAATTCTAATACATGCACCTCGTCAATATTTTACCCATCATTACGTCCAGCTGTTTTGTGGGGCATTCAAATTTAACAATAAGTGATTTCAATAGTTTTCGTTTTTTTGGGAAACCCTGTAGATACCAAGGCTGTGTTGACTAAAAAATTGTTGTAGCTCGCTAAAGCTATAAAGGTGGTCAGCTACAACTATTGTAGTCAGCCACATCACATGAAATGTAGTTCGCTACTGACAATAAAGGTACTTTTAAAAAAAAATGTAGTGAACTATTCGCTACTTCGCTATACAGCAAAATATCCAGCTATCCACATTTGCAATTTACCGGCATTAATGTCATATATATAGCTACAATATGTTCTCAGTCAGTAATTTAAAAATTGTTCAAATAATTGGTATATGATCAAACATAACATATGCTTTCAACTTTGAACACGTTCAGTAGCATTGTTTTGACGCTTCTCAATTTGACACTGTTGGCTATACCACCTTACCTTGTAACAGCTGAGTATATAGTTTTGATGCGTAAATTTGTAATACGACAATATATAACCATTTATTTAGTTCTGTTCAATAACAGTAATAGCTAGTAATTGTAACAACATTCCAGCGAGTTGTTTATGATTTTTGTTGAAATTTAAATATACAGGGTGTCTCAAAAAAACCCAAAATCATTGAAATAACGTGTTGTTCGAATTTCAATGCCGTAACAAAAAGGATTTTGACAGGGTGATTAATTTGTTTTAAAAAATTAAAATATCTTTGTAAAGTGAACGTTTGTTTGCTCATGGGAATTTAAAAATGCTTCGTAAGTTGTAATATGCGTAATATGCATTCGTGGGTTTAGTACTTTATGCCTGACATAACAAGTTTACGCTGAGTATTACCATTCATTATAGCAGTTATGTCAATCTTTTATGCACTCGTGGGATTAACTTAGTGCTAGGGCATTGAATATCGAACAATACGTCAATTTCAATGATTTTGGGTTTTTTTGAGACACCCTGTATAGTTCCAACAATAAAGGATGCACTAGAAGGTTTATGAATTTCGATAAAAACAGCCTCAAGATTATCTCTAGTCAAGTCTTTTCGTTCGGAAAAGTTAAGAGAATTTTTAGCATATATACAGACGCCTCCCCCTTTTCTAGAACGATCAAACCTAATTAAATCATAGTTATCTATATGCATATCCTTGGTTACTAATATTTTCATCCAATCTTGTCTCATTCAAAGCAAGTATATCGAGACATTGATCGGCCAGTAATATTCTTATTTCATTAATATGCTTAGGTAAACTGGCTATATTTAGCATACTCATTTTGAAACCTTTAAAGTTTGGAACGTTTGGGTTTAATGATGCCCATTTATCAACACCTGGCCGGGCTGTGTTTCAATTAATATGATTGAAATAGTTATTATAATTTTTACTAATAATACTGCTACCCTTTTTGTTTAGGTGTAGCCCACGTCTATTCAAGCAAGTATAGTCTATATTACTATTGTCTATATAAGTCCAATTATTTAAGCTGCAAACACGCCCAAGAATATCATTTACAGCTTTTATCTTGTTTTGAATGGTGGCTTTGTCTTTCCTGACAGTTATGCTTGATATGCATACTGTACAGGGTGTCTCAAAAAAAACCAAAATCATTGAAATTGACGTATTGTTCGATATTCAATGCTCTAGCACTAAGTTAATCCCACGAGTGCATAAAAGATTGACATAACTGCTATAATAATGGTAATACTCAGCGTAAACTTGTTATGTCAGGCATAAAGTACTAAACCCACGAATGCATATTACGCATATTACAATTTACGAAGCATTTTTAAATTCCCATGAGCAAACAAACGTTACTTTACAAAGATATTTTAATTTTTTAAAACAAATTAATCACCCTGTCAAAATCCTTTGTGTTACGGCATTGAAATTCGAACAATACGTTATTTCAATGATTTTGGTTTTTTTTGAGACACCCTGTAGTGCGTGGTAAATTATCCTTAATTTGATTACCTAAATTTAATATTCCCGCTGCAACTACCTCTGCTGACTTGGTGTCGTCTTTAATGTCATTAGTACCAACGTACAATATCATTGTGTCAGGCTTTTTGCGTATCAGGGGTTTTATATAGTCCTGCATGTCTTCTACTCTACTTCCTGAGAAGGCTTTCACTGACACACGTTGTTCGTCGCTGGACAATTCCCAGCCATGCACATGTTGCAGAATAGAGTCCCCTGCAATAAATGCGAGTTTACCAGACTTTTCACCTGTGTTATTATCTGGGCGATTTCTATCCTTATACTTTGCTTTATCCTTGTTGGGTTTGGTTGATTGATTACCCCTTTGTTGATTGCTACGTTTACTAAGATCCTCCCTTGGGCAATTTTGCTTTATTACCGAAGGATTGTTAGACTCATTTGAACTTTCAACGGTGTTGAATTTTTCGTCGTTATCTATAGTATGCGATAATAGTTCGAATCTATTTTCTGACGTTGTTACTTCCCGTGGTTGATTATTTATCACAGTGGGGGTAAACGGTTTGTTTTGTACGTGAGTAGCAGGAATTTTGCGTGAACTTGGTTTAGAGTGAACCTGCCAAGTACTACATGTTGACTGTTTATTATTCGCTGATCTAGAATTATTGTCATCTTGTAGCAGCTTTACAGCCGTGATCAAACTCAGTTTTTCGTTTTCAATATTTTCTATTTTGGTTTTTAAGTCCGATATAGTACAGGAGTAATCGAGGGAGTAATTGTTAAATTTCTCCTTCAGGGTGTTATTTTCCTCCTTAAGCTGGGCATTTTCTTGTCTTAGTCTAGCGTTTTCGTCTGAACTAGTCCGACAACACTTTGCATTGTACTGTTTCCTTTACTTGAATTCTGTTTTCAATATCTAATTATAATTACAATGTAAAACGATGTAGATGTATTTTTAATGTGAACAGTAAAGTCTCCCCTGGGAGGTAGCAAACAATAAACGATAATAATATGTATATGTAACAGCTGTCAATGTCCCACCTACCCACCCGAGCGCAGGTTATTGTAAGCAACAAATCATTCATATGTAACTGCCGTCAATGCCCCACCTACCCAGCCAGGGGCAAGCCGAGTTAACATAAACATTGCAACAGGATTAAACTTATCTTCACCCGCACATACAGTGACTGACGGATACATAACAACTTGTAACCACTCATAAAACGCTTCGGAGTCTTTCAACCGCCACAGTTCATCTTGTTTAGGAGCAGTCATGTCAAAAATCATATTAAGAGATGGTTTATCGTCAGGGTCGTGATCTTCAACGTCAGGCTCAGAGTATAATTTATATTGGCCTTTGTCTTCATAGTTGCTCGTATAGTGTTCACATATTTCTGGATGAAAATGAAAGACTCCTTGTAGTATTTCTAGTGGTGTAGGTAGTTCTTGTTTGTCCCAAGGGAATATAACTGCACAAATTTCCTCTTCTGGTCCGAAATTGCAATTGCCTGCAATGAAATGGTTTATTGATTTAACCTTTTTGACATTTTTACAGTATAGACCCATTGCACATGACAGCGCCGGTGACGATGCATCTGGAGGACAAATTAGCAATCTATGCATAATACAACTTTTGTAAACAAAGCAAATTTTGCAAAACTTTGTTATAATTTTGTATTAAAATGGTTAATTCTTGCGCTGTATGTGGTTGTTGTACCCTAACAAATATTGTTAGGAAGCATCTGGAGGACAATCTAAGAAATTTGTGACGTCAGTGCAATAGGTCTATACATGTATATATGTTGATCATAATGATCATTGCGATGTTTGGTGGATTACATTCTCCGTCAACCTCGTACCCAGGGTTTTTTGCGATTGGATGGTCAGCGAAAAAGGCCCTCGCTTCGGCTGGTCACATAACATCCTGAATTTTGGGTTGTTTAGTATGATATTTCATCTGAAATGCATAGGCAAAAATTAGCATTTAAATTTCGTCAAATACTGACAGGACTAAACACACTCAATGCCGTGTATTGACAGCTTTAGAAAACACGATGCAAACTGAAAGACGCGCCTTCGAAACGTACAAAGAAATTCTTCATGCAAAACAAAAAACTGTGATCCCAGGGGCATCCTCAACAACGTTGTCATTCAGAATACAATGTTAAGGCCTGTTTAAACGGATCCAACATTGTTGGACCAACATCATCCAACAATGTTACTATAATAGATATGACTACTTCTCTTTCAAATCTTTTTGGTTAGATAAGCTTTACTCAAACTCTAAACCAAGTCTTGACAAAATTTTTGAAAAAGAAGCCGTTTCGGCCATTATTTCAACAATGTTGGATGATGTTGGCCCAACAATGTTGGATCCGTTTAAACAGGGCTTTAAACTAAATAGCCTGCTTTCCATATGGTCCTAGCTGTCGCGAACGTGTTGTAACTGTCGTCAGAGTCGTGTTCGCGACCAAATGGAAACATGAAGAAAAGTCTTGTCACGACACGCTGGCAACAGTTTACGACAGTTACAACAGTGTCGTCGAGATAGACTCGAGTTCTATCGACGACAGTTGCGACAGGCTAAAAACGTGTTGTGCAGACGGTTATTTTTTAATGGAACAGAAAAGCGACAGCGTGGCAACAGTTTGTCTTTTTAAAACTGCCGTCAGCTGCTTGTACGATCCCTGGGTACGAAATTAACTTATACGACAGTGTCACGACAGTTAACAGGTAGGCAATTTGTCGACGCTGACCAAAAGTAGCGGCTCATTTCTTCTTTGAGTTCCATTTTCGCGTCGAAGAGCAAAAATATAGACTTTCGGAGAATATTTTAGCTGTTTACTATTAAATAGGTTTGTCAAACAGTTAATAATCTTACTGAGGAAGGCCAACGGTTTCTGAAACGCTAAAGTACGTCGAAATCCGCTTTGGAATAGACTATATTTTCACCAGGGAAACATGAACAAAATGGATATTTACATCGACACTAAATTTTGCTGGTGCCTACAGAGCTAGTTGGATTAAAACAGATGTTAAGAAGTAAGTGGAAATGTGAACTTTGTGAATTATACTTTCATTAAAATGTTTCAGAAGGTTTGCTAATGTCAAACTACACGTGTGACAGAGCTGTCAGTATACCCATATTTCAATGTTTATGTTGAAATGACCTATCTTCTTTGAGGTATAGCTTAAAATTTAGGGTATGCTCATCACTTGAAACTAGCTTTAAATCAAAGTTTTATCTATAGTCTTTATATTAGAATTAAAATCATTCATGGGAAAAATGTGCCAAAGGGTTGAAATTGCCCTTGTAAATGTACACTATTTTTGACATGCTTGGGTTAGTATTTTGAAAAGGTGTTCTGGAAGGAAAATATGTCTTGAACAATACTGGTTGACCCTTAAATTATAACTAGTGTTATGTAAATCACAGAAAACTGAAAAAAATCTGGTCCATACACAATATTTTGGACCCTATGAGGTCCTGAATGGGGCTTATTTCAATGTTGAACCTATTTACCTGGAAAAACTTAGAAAATTGAATAAATCAAGAATTTGACTATGCTCATCACCCAAAACCAGTTTTTTCTAATTGCTTTTTCACCTGGGTTTGTGGCAATGCCAGTTATGCGACCACGAAAAATGCGCGCGGCACTTTTTTTGGACACTGAAGATGGTAACATTTGATGTTGTCATATATTGCCATCCTCTTATCGTAGCATAACTTAACTTATTTTAGTGAATTTGTTAAAGAGTTGTGTTCACTATGTGCTTGTAGTATCTAAGATTTTTTCATAGCATTATATGATAAATTTAAGTTCTGTTTTCTTTTATTTTTAGGTGATAGTATCTGTTCATTCCAGTGTTGGTATCAAATTTTGGACAAGTTTCAATTATTATTTCACATTCCTTTATTCAAATATCCAAATAAATGGAGTATGACATCAAGCTGGAGGACTAGATCCTGTTTTCAAACTTGTTTTTTGTAAAAATAGAAAATAACAACTTATTCTGTGTTGTTCTAATAAAAACCATTGTTTTTGATATGCATATATTTTAATTTTATTCTTTGTTAAACTGTGTACCTGGAATACTGAAATCTTTCAGATCAGCTAACAATACCTTTATAACTTATATAGCCAAGTGTTCTATCT